CTTGAACAACAAATCATACATTATATTGTTACATATTTCTGTAAGAAATTTACTTTAACATTCTCTTAAAAATACATATTGATCTGGAATTTTGAACTTCATCCACCAGATTATTCCACAGTCTTATACCCTGGACTGAAGTACTCCGCTCCTTCAAACTGGTTCTAAACTTACGTTTAACAAACAATTCCATCCCTTTGAGATTATTGTATTATTTTATTAGTTTCTGGTCAGTGCTGAGTTTAAAGCAGCATGTATTTATTTTAAGACATTAATGCATCTTTGAAGCTCTCACGGGCCACATAAAATGCAGTGGCGGGCCACATTTGGCCTGCGGGCTTTGAGTTGGACATGTGATTTAGTTTAGTTTTAGTTTATTTCAAACATAATATATTAATTTAAGATTGCTAGTAGTTCAGATGTGGTATGTCTTCAGTTTCACTCTTTGCCGTGAGAGCTGGCTGCCCTCGCTGTTTTTCCTATCGCTGCCGGTGTGTTTACTCTTCCAGTGAGACGAGCCGAGCGGTCTGCGGGGCCGTATCAGTGTTGGCTCAGTCCGCCGTGTTTGCTGATCCGAACCAACGTGGAAACAAACTAAAACTGTTAGCGCACTTTTGATATCACACATCCCTTTCTGTAAAACCTGAATAAACAAGGAGGCATGTCTCTTAATGCACATGTTAAAGGTCGACTTACAGCAAACAGAGACGAAGGAACATCAGTCAAAACATCAGGAAAACACATGGAAGAAATCCAGTGTGTCCAAAGGAAGCAGTTGTTATATAATATAATGTGCAAATAGAATCAACGTGCACATGGCACTAATCATCATCACCACCTCCTTTATAGGCCATTTACAAGATGGTGTCGTCAGTAATGAAGATGCCAGAGGACGAATCGACGCCAGAGAAAAGGACAGATAAGATCTTCAGACAGATGGACATTGACAATGATGGTAAGACTGGTGTGATATTTGTGTTTTAGGAATGAATATTTGATAGAATTGTTTTAAAAACACAATGTGGGCCTGTCTTGATAAACAGCTGTTAGTGGTATTTTTTTAATGCATATTAGTTTAAAATAGTCTCCAAATATTAGCATTTATTGCAATAGTTTCAGAGACAGTTTTATCATCTAGCAGAGCTGCTGCTGTATTAAAATATCAGCTGAGATGGTTCAGGCATCTGGTTAGGATGGAGGATTTATGT